TAGTAGTAGTAGTAGTAGTAGTAGTAGTAGTAGTAGTAGTAGTAGTAGTAGTAATGATAATAATAATAACACCATAACATTTCTCCCAAAAAGCCTTAAGTTTCCATATTACTTTTAGTTTGTGTTTTTCTCGCACAAGACAGTAATGTAGAAGTGGTTATGGGATGAACTTTCGACTGCGTTTGTGTAAAGAGAAGCACACCCACACGATAACAAATTTATTCCTGGAAAATAGCAAGACAAAAGCAACCAAGAGAAAGTTTTAAAAAGCAGGACATAGATCTACGAGTGGCAGCCGCCTGTCTCATTTATTTTTGTTGCAGAATACAAAACTTGAAATAGTAATCGTTTTTTGCTGTTTCGTAACTGTGGTTTTAACTATTTATACATACTGGATAAAATCGTGACTTGGAATTTAGTTAGGACCGATTTCTTGACATATTTTTGTCGTGCTCGCTTACATAAATCGTTTACTTACGATAATTTCTCGTCCTCTTTTTTCCAACCTCTCACTTTTCATATTAATTTTTAAAATGTAATGTAATTATACATGTGTTTTTTTACGCCGCCACCGATACTATTTAGGTCCTGTAGAAAGCGGGCTGCTCCGGCACTGCTTGTCAGAACCAATCCAGAAGGAATAGTATGGAACTTTCCATTAGTGCTGGCAAAGATAGTAAATAACAAGATGGGCCACTCAGCCAAAAAAGTGTCCGCAGGAAGTATGCTCTTTGTTTCAGATGGCGCAGCAGTCTGTTTTGAAGCTCTCTTTCGTTTTTCCAGAAGAAGAATAGGAATAGCACCTCCGTGCGTGCGCAAATCGACTGCTGTTCATCAGCAGTTCGGGTACGTTCAGTGCGGAGTTTTAGGGTTTTTTTTACGACCTCTAGCCTTTCATTCTAAAGTCAAATTAAACGAAGAAAACCATCACCCTTTCCTCCGGAAGAGGTTTTTTGTCAGCGTAACCATTAAAAAAAAGCGTTCTTCCGAAATTTATCACAAAACATGCTAGTTTCACTTTGATTTTGTAAAACTCAAGTAGGGTAACTCTGTTCGCAAAGAGCGCGCTTTTGTGAAGAGGGCGCCACCAAATTTTGAGGACACTTTTTTAATTGGCTCAAAGAGAGAAGTGGCCCTTCTTGTTATGTACTATCTTTGGTGCTGGGCGTCGAGGTTCCAGATTATTGAAAGCTAGGAATCGTAGGAATCGACTCCGAACCCAATTACTTACATTATAATTTTGTGATTTTTTTTTTCGGTGGTTACCTGGTTGGCTCCGAACATCTTCAGGATTTAGGATAATCTTGATTTCGGAACACTCCGAAGCATCAACTTTTAATTTTCAAAGATGATTTATAAAAAACAACAACAGATTTTAATTATTAAAGTAACTGTGAACCTTTGGGTTTCGTGAAAGGGAACATTTCTTCCGTTGCATTAGTCATGGGAATCGGTTCCGGAATTGATTCTTCGCCCAGCTCTACTTTCCATCAGACAGACGGAGATACTCGATAAGAATTTTTCCCCACTGGAGAACCGATCTCACATCTTCCGGGTGTGACGGTGAAGTTCAGAACCCCTTTTGGAGGTTTAAATGTTTTACGGCACTCGCAACTGAATAAGGTCAAATGAGCGCGCAGAACACACCAAACATTTTCAGTTGGTAGAAATTTGTGAATTTTTCCCGGGTGGCGGCCGAAGCCTACTCTTATCGATTTTAGACCACCAAGGGATCATTAACGTGCGCAACTTACACCCGGGACTTCCGAGGTTTTTCACCCTTGTCCGAGAAGGCTAGGCGTAGACCTTTCCTACCAGAAGATCAGGGTGTGGCTTAAAGACAGCAGTAAGGAGGAGCCAAGGAGAAGCACAAGAAAAGCTGCAGAAAGAATCTGGAGCCCAGAGGAGGGCGCAAAGGAGGGGAGAGGAGAATGAGGAGACGAAAGCAGACGACAGAACATTTCTAGAGAGCATGAAAGGAGGTGAAATTTTAGAGAAAAAAATTTTGCGGTCGCTACCCGGATTCGAATCCGGGACCTTTGAATGAGAGGCAAACACCTTAACCTCTTGGGCATGAGAGCCCCCCCCCCCCCCCCCCAAAGCCCATAACCTAACCGCTACACAATGTACACTTTTAGAGGTACGTTTCAGGAGTAAAGGGAAAAAGAAATTAATGTGCAAAAGCAGAGAAGGGGTTGGCAGCCTAATAAATAATAATTATGTCTACGAAAATGGAAACCTAACGAAAACTATATTGTTTGTCCTTCGCGGGTGCTCTGTCTGTTCTGTCAAACTTTATTAATCTTTCCTTTTTGTGTTTGTTACACTATTCTCTTGTAAAACCTCTAACCTTCGGCGCTATCAATTAGACTGATTGTTTTGCAAGTGCCGTAAAACTCATACTTACTAAAACTGAACTTGTTCTTTCAGGGGCACGAGTGGCATAGACATCGATCTACAGAAAGTCGATATTGACCAGTGTCCACTACACGGGGATGGAGAGGATAACGTGTTTGCCGGAAGTGCCAGGTGCAGACCAAGGACCACACAGGTCAGAGATCTATCTAGCTTGGACGTCTTTAGGGCGCTTTCTTTCTTATTTCTGCCACTGTGTCTCTGTTTCTTCAGGTCTCTTTCTCTCTCTCTGTTTCCCAGTCTTTTTCTCACTCTCCCTGAATCATTTTCGCCGTCTCTCCACCACCCTCTCTCTCTCTCTCTCTCTCTCTCTCTCTCTCT